GTGCCCTTAGTTTATTCTCATTAAAACCTGTATCTATGCAAAGTTTCAAATCGAAATTCGAAAATCAACTTTTCTGTGAACCACGGTATTCATTTAAACAATACCGTAAAAGTGCAATAAGCTAAAGGTACGAACTCTTATTAGGGTATTCATAGCTGATGTAGATTTACTTAATGCACATAGTCTTGACTCAAAAGCGATTTATCATTTAGAAAACTTTCCTCGAAAGATTTAGTCTTAATTCTAATTAAATAAAAACATATATATTTTGTAAAATGTTTACTTTATTTATATTTCAGGATGAATATGTTTTTGAAAATATAATTGATCCAGATTATAAATATAAATTTCCTCTTGAACTTGAACGTTATTATGCAAAAGATAAACGTACATTATTAAATATATTATGTAAAAAAATTTTAACAACATCTAAATCAGATAATTTATTACATCAACAACAATGCCTATCAAGTACACCACGTTATTTATCTTCACAATATTTATTTGGTAGTAGTTTAACAGATGAATTAGCTGTTTTTTGATTTTACATCAGCTGCTGTTAATCAACAACAAAATGATTTAAATAAAAGTTTATCAAATTCTTTATCAAATAATTCATCAACAAATATAATTCAACAAAAAAAATATTGATGATAATGATAGACCAGCATTAATTGAAGGTTCAGATGATCAAATAGGTTCTGAATTTATTGATATGGAAATGAATGAACTTAATTTACATTCATGTATGATACCAATGGTTTGTTTATTAAAACATATGGAAACAAATGGAATAATTCCAATAAATGATCGTATATCTGAAATACCACCATGGATGATATGTATGTGTAAAAAATTTAGTGATCCACTTATAACATTTAATATAAAATTATTTCTTATGTGTCTTATTATTCATACACATACAATATTTAAACCATATGCATGTTATTGGTTAACACCAATAATTCATATATGTAATCAAATGTTTGAAAATTCATCTGAAGGTTTAAATATATTTATAATTGATACAATTGTTATATTATTATCATGATATAAACAAGCTATACCA